GGCGTGAGAAGTAAAATTAGAGGAGGGAGCAAATATAAAGTTCATTAATTAAGAGCTCCAAAGTTTTGATTGAAATGGCTGGATTAGTTTATTCTATTTATATATGAAAAAATATATTTAAAATATGTTTTATTAATATAATAAAGAAAAAATTAAATGAAATATTAGTTAACATTATCTCTCTACTGTAACTTCAACCAATTTGGTCTGAAAAGTAATTGCAACGTTCCTTACTTTGATTATTATACAATTCAAAACACGAAATCAAACATTACATATTTGATGAAAAAAAGACTGATAAGACAAATAATTAAGCTGAAAAATGGGGTCATCAAATGTGCGGGTTGTTTACCAAAACACGAGAAAAGTTTGTTGGAGTCACCAAAAGGGGGAGTCGGAATTGTGAGTTCCGACTAGGGATTGGGTTTCAAAAATACCCTCCCCTCCTATCGGATTAGCCACTTCCGACTAGGTTTTTTTCTTTTTTTCTTTTTAATTTTTGGCGGAATTGTTAAAGCTTTTCATTTTAAATCCGAATTTAAAAGTTTATAAAACTCCCTCCTGTCGGATATGCCACTTCCGACTAGGAGGTATGTTTTAAATTAAAGTTTTTAATTTTTAAACACTTCCCACTAAAGTTTTAAACTAAATTGGCCAATTTAATTCATGTTTTAATTTTTAAATTGGCCGAATTTCTTTTTTTAATTAGTGATACGGGTTGGAAGCTATTTATTAAAAAAAATCCAGTCGGATTTGGGAGTTCCGACCTGAGAGGGGTATTTTGTGTTATGGTCGGATTTGACCATTCCGACAACGGGAGCCATCCAATGGTGATCCGCGTGCTTCTTGTTTTGTTTAAGACCGTTGGATATCAATCCATGTGTTTCTTTAAAATTAAAAATCGGACAACTTTGTTAAAATAAGATTCCAACAACTAAATCATATAATTGAGGTCAAAGAGGACTACAAGAAAAGATTTTAAATTTAATGTTTATAAAGATTAAGTAAGTCATATTTTGGAATTAATTATAATTAACTTGAATAATACATATCGGGGGATTCATAGTTCTCAAACGTTTGGCGGTTGCTCCTCTGACCATATACCTATGACGGGCCCTCTTCGACAGTATTATTTGTAGGAGTTTCGTGGAATGTCAAATTTTGTGGCAAAGGTTTTGATTTTCAAAGTTTTTTAAATTAGTGCCAGTTTAAACTAGTTTTTCCGCTATTTTGCTCAAGACCCTGCGATTATTTGTAATTTTCATCTTTTTAATTAATGACAATTATTTCTATTCATCTCAATTCTGTTGATTCTTCAATCATGAGTCAGGAGTAATTTTAATTAGGGATTTGGGATTGATAAAGGGGTTAATCATGATGTATGCGCAAATTATACCGTGGGATCGGCACACCGTGCGCACGATGTGCCGATCCGTAAACAATGCCGTTTTAATTAAAATCAGCCATCTTCTTACAATAGTATACCAGTAACTGAGGAAGAGCTCCTATGAAGTGTACCTATGAAGTATTCCGGCTTGTAATACCAGTATCCGACTTGTAAGTGTTCCGGCTTGTAATACCAGTATCCGGCTTGTAATACCAATATCAGGTCGAAGCCTGAAGAGAAAGCTTCATTATCTGGGGAAGAGCTCCTATGAAGTGTTCCGGCTTGTAATACCAGTATGCCTATTTACAACAGACCCCGGATTTGAAAACCGTATAGCTTCCAACAATATAGGAAGTTCATTATATGACGCCTCCCAATTGCTGAATTTACGCTCCAGAGCGATTAAGCGTCCATTCCAAGCTTTTTTATATGAAACATGGATATCAAATTTTTCACTGGCTATTATCTTGGCCGTTAGGATCCTGTCATCCCGAGCCGTGACAGGATCCTCCCTACAACTGTGATGGGGTTGATATTTTTTTACTTTTCACTTTTTGACGTCATACCTTCTCCTGCTTGGATATGCCAAGTGCAAAGGGTCGGGTCTATGCAAACTGCCTTCCAGGACCGTGGTCTTTCGTCTTCCGTTCTGAATTGATGAAATTGATGAATGTTTTCTCTCGCCACCGCTTCTGTCAGTGCATCATATGAAGGGTAAACTGCGCCGACTTCAATCCTTTCAGTCTCAGAATCTACCGCTTGAACACATGGTTCTTCTAGCTCCACATTGGCCCAGGTGGTGTCTACTGCCTCGTCACTATCATCGCTCGTGGATGAATTGGCGTCACTACTAAAACCTTGTTCATAGTCTGGGTCGTCCGACTCTTAACCCAAGTTTAATTTGTGACTGTACAAAGTAGATACATTCAAAAATTTAGAAACAAATCCACTAACTAGAACCGTAAGATTCGATATTTCATAAATGAACCTTTAACATGTAATGATTGTAACAAGAACTGCTTACACATATAAATCCGTTAACTAAGATTCAGTTATATATGTGAGATGAAGTAACATATCGATACTGTTGGTCCAAAATAGGACGCTCGTAGGCTTTTAGGAAAGTTACGTACGACACTCAAGCAAGAATTAGGAATGCAAGAACGAGAATGGAAAGTAGCTAGGAGATTTAGTTTCCAGAAATAGCATCTAGAATTTGTCTCCTAATCTGAATTACAACCTGCCTTTTATAGGCGTATACAAATCGTAACCGTTACCGATAATAATGACTAATTAATTACAACATTAATACGGAATTAAATACATAATTAATAGCGCATTAATTGTTCGACCGTTACTCTTTCGGGCTAGGAGGTCGGCCGGACTGGCAGGCTCCCTGCCGGGCTGGCAGACAGGCTCCAGGTTATGAACCTGGATCCATGGGTCCAAGTTCGGGGCTTGGGCTGATTAGGCTCTGGGCCTAGTCCCATTACTCCATCACGACTCCTCCACTCCCTTAGTCGAGTAGTAGACTCGGCTAAGAGGGAGTAGTCCAAGTCAGTTGCTCTTCTCCGAGACTAGAAAATCCCCGCCCTTATCCATGTTGGGGAGATGCCTCATTAAAAATCTTCATTAGGAAAAAACCCAATGGGAAAAAATCCTAATGAAGGGAAAAAGAGTACATCTGACGCTCCCAAGATGAAGCAAGAGGTGAGATCCTCAGCCTTTTTTATTGCAATGATCGCCATCTGCCAATAGGACGGCTAGAACTATTCTTCTCGTCGGACTCAGACTCGTCAGGTTTGTCATTTGCTTCCTTGAAGACGGTATGACCTTCAGTCCCCCACTTCATCCAGTTAAACCTACACATAAAACAGACTAGTGTAGAATAGAGCATCTGGCCTGGTGTCAAACCACAGCTCGGTGTGTAAGTGAGTCGGACTCACTATTTGAAAAGAATGACATCAAGTTCCCAAGTTAGGCCTCAACCCATTCTCCGAAAGAAAGATTGAATCCGCGAGTAAGTGAGTCGGACTCCTCACTCGAATGGATAATCTAACCCCAAAGAACTAAAGTATATCAACCTTTTCGAGAAATGTGAATGTCACTTAAGTGAAAAAATTGCTCGGAAGAGCGTGGCTCTAGGCCCCTAATAAGAGTTTAACTCGCCGCCCGAGGTTAGTAGTTCGAACCCGCAAGTAAAAACTTTTGAACGGGTGACTCGTCCCTCGAGGTCGGAGTGTGATGCACTTGGAAAGGGTAAGAGCACGCAAGAACTCGTATGAAGTCAAGAGTGTGCGGTATTAACATTTATATTGGAGCTTATTAATCGCCACACCCATATGACGTGACCCGGTGGCGCGAGTGTGTGTGCTCGGCCAGTGTACGAGTGTGTGTGCTTGCCCGGTGTACGTGGGTGATCAGATTTCATAAGCCCGTTTTTCAATGTTAAAATTACACACGCTTAACAAGAGTAAAAGCAATTAAACCACTTAAAATATATTTTCAAATGTTTGAATTTATGATTTTTTTTTTTGTATCAAATATAGAGGATTTTTGGAAACTTAGCTTTAGAGCCAAACGGGCCCGAATGCGTTGCTGAAAAATCAGCCCATCATCCTTGAGGAGAATCAAATTTGGTCTTAGTGTAATCTTGGTCCATCCACTTTAACGCAGAGCAGACTCTTGCTCCACAGGAATTAGGTGGGCGCACATTTGAAGGCCTATCTCATGAATAGGCATGGCGATGAGGGAGACCAACAGCGACGTCGGCGCACGACATCCAACTGTGATTGACGAAGAGAACAGGAGGAAGTGGGACTGTAGCACCTTGGATTGGGATGAATTTCTTGAATTTTTTCCTTCTAAAGTGATGTGAGAGATCAATAGAGGCTCTCAATGAAAGCACCAATGTTGGTCCAAAATAGGACGCTCGTAGGCTTTTAGGAAAGCTACGTACGACACTCAAGCAGGAATTAGGAATGCAAGAACGAGAATGGAAAGTAGCTAGGAGATTTAGTTTCCAGAAATAGCATCTAGAATTTGTCTCCTAATCTGAATTACAACCTGCCTTTTATAGGCGTATACAAATCGTAACCGTTACCGATAATAATGACTAATTAATTACAACATTAATACGGAATTAAATACATAATTAATAGCGCATTAATTGTTCGACCGTTACTCTTTCGGGCTAGGAGGTCGGCTGGACTGGCAGGCTCCCTGCCGGGCTGGCAGACAGGCTCCAGGTTATGAACCTGGATCCATGGGTCCAAGTTCGGGGCTTGGGCTGATTAGGCTCTGGGCCTAGTCCCATTACTCCATCAGATACGTTAGTATGATTCGATAAATATTAAATATTAATTAAGACTGTAATTTGCTGGTCTGGTCTGGTTTCTTTATATTAACTATCCAAGTCTTGTTTGATATGATCTGAATTGGTCTGGGAGGAATTACAGTCCAAGTAAAAACATCCTTAAGATACGGAGTAGAAGAAACCATTTTATAATCAACAAAAAATCAATAAAAATCCACTAAATTAAAGCAAGAATTAAATCATAAACTAGTAACATTCTCAAAGTTCGGACCAAAATATACATATTTACGGTCCATATTTACATATGCTTCACGACCAAATTAAGATCATTCTCAAGATAATATGATGTAATGAATAACACAGTAAGTGCCATTAGAACCAAAAATGATGGATCACTTCAAAATAGTAAGGCCCTAACACAACAACTCTTGGATCAGTGAATCCACATCTTCTTCTCTGAGTGTCCCCTGCTGACTTGAGGAGGAAGCCAAAACAGAGGATGGCGGCGAGGAACATTCTGGAAAAGCGGGACCGCCGCCCTGCTCCGGCTGCCACTCCCGGATCATTGATCCAATGTCTTCTCCACTAATCAGCCAATCATCTTCCCAAGGAGTATTGAATGTCTCCTTCTCAATTGGCGAGTAGCAGCAGGGTTCACAAATCACATGGCCACCGCCCCCGGCCAGAACAGAGGACGGCGGCGAGGAATATTCTGGAAAAGCAGAACCGCCGCCTTGCTCCGCCTGCAACTCTCGGATCATTGATCCAATGTCTTCTCCACTAATCAGCCAATCATCTTCCCACCGAGTATCGAGTGTCTCCTTCTCAATTGGCGAGTAGCAGCAGGGTTCACAAATAACATGGCCACCGCCCCCAGCCAGAACAGAGGACGGCGAAGGATATTGCGGAGGAAAATTAACAGGACACCCTCCCTGCAGTTGCCTCTGCTGCACCTCTCGGATCACTGATTCGATAACTTCGTCAGCCAACGGTCCGCCGCTGTTCCAAGCAGTATTCTCGCCCGGATCACCGGACATGGGCGAAGAAAACCGAGCAGAAAGAGGACCGCTGCCCTCCCGCTGCGACACTTTACCCACTAATCCGGTTCTCTTTTCACTCTCGCCCGCCGTCTCGGGAATACCTGAAGGGTCGCCGTACATGTAAGGGTTTCCGGCGGGAGAGAAGAGGACCGCCGCAATTTTGACTACTTATAGTCAATATGTTTAGCCTAATATGACTCTTTGTGTTTAAATTTGCATTAGTCCCATCAATATGGCACGTAAAATAAGCACCATTGAAGAGATCAATGACACCAAAGAGACATGGAAGATTGCAGTGAGGGTTATATCACTTTGTTCTTTCCAGACTCCTTCGAAGTTCATTGAAATGGTGTTAATGGACGCAAAGGTCTGATTATCTTATTTTTTAATGCTTAAATGAAATTAAATGCTCTAACAATTAAAGTGATTAATAACTTATCAACAATTCTCATAAATTAGGGATATAAGATACAGGCGGTTGCAAGAAATGCAGAGGTGCTAACCTGGAAGTCAAAGCTCAAAGAAAATGAAACTTATGTGATGCAAAACTTCAAAGTACTGTGCAATGAAGGACAGTTCAAGGCATGTGATCATCCATTCAAGCTCCAATTTACAAGTGGTACAACACTAAAACATCAAGAACTGCCTGATATACCCAAAGATTACTATAGCTTTAAAAAATTCAGTGAGATATTAAGTGGTAATCTCCGTACTGATGTTTTAGTTGGTAAGTGTTTATGTCAAATTACAAGCCTCCTTTTTTTACCACATAATAAAAAAGTAAACATTACTATCTATCTATTTATATATAAGAAAAGAGATAGCTCATCAAATTACTGTTTTGTCCTTCATTAAGCCTAGGTGGAGCTCATACCATATTTTTCTCCTTTTCTATACTGCAGCCACGTGGCTCTCAGTTTTTTCTCCTTTTTCCCGTTTCTATCTTCTCCCCGTCCCCTTTTTTCGCCAAAGTTTCCTCACATCTCCCCCTAAGCGCGCAGATCGGTAATCTCAGAATTTCACCAAATATAGGATTCTTCAATAGGGAGATTACAACTGAATCTTGGAGGCTCCAAATAATATCTTCGCTATATATACAAATGAATATCGCGGTTCATACTCCCTGCACGAGTACACAAGTTTTTGGTAATTCTTAATTTTCTATATTTCTCGATTCTTCTATAATTCAGCAATGCTTATCTCTTTCTAAAACCCTTTTTTGTCTCGGTGTAGTTTTCATTCTTCCTTTCTGTAGCAGAGGTAACGAATTTTTTCAAAACAGTTGTTGCTAGAGACTTCGGCAACTGAGAGTGTAAAAGTTTTGTTTGGGATCGGTACTTTTGTTCTGTAACGAATTTTTGTTCTGTATTGGGATCAGTACTTTTGTTCTGAAACGAATTTTTGTTCTGCATTTTTGTTTGGGATCAGTACTTTTTTTGTTAATAGCATTAAACAAAGTTTAGACTTTTACTTTTCTACATATCAGGTGTTTGATGAAATGCTTGAATGAGTTTTTACTTTTACACTCAGTTTTAGTATTGTTATTATTATTAGTTGTAACCTGTGAGAGTCTGAGTAAGATATGTATCTATCTCCCCCTGTTTTCATTGGTTTATAACATAGAGGTCATATCACTTCCATGAAACTGCTTTTAAGAAGCATTACATGTCCTGTTCTTTTTCTTATGAAGCCTATTGTCCTTCATTAGGCAGTAAATACAAGTTTGAGAAATGAATTACTCTTGCTTCATTTATTAGGCATTACGTGTCCTATTCTTTTTCCTTTTTAGCCTATTGTTCTCTTAGGCAGCAAATAGAAGTTTGAGAAATTAATTACTCTTGCTTGATCATGAGTTTTCATAGTGCTAATGTGGCTGCCATAAAACTGCCTTTTATGAGGCATTACATGCCCTATTCTTTTTCTTTTTCTCTCAGTATTGCCTTTTATGCTCAAGCATCTTAAACCAATAAGACAAAGAAGTATTGATGTAAAGCAAATAACTATATTAATCTTCATGTTATGCTCAACAAATGGTATGCTAGGAATAGCAGTAGGAACATGTCCAGTTGTGTATATATGTTCTCTTACTATATTTTCAGTTTTGTTACCTTTTAACAAATCAATTTTTCAGGCTACTTCTATAACAGGTCAGGCTTTGAACTGTACTATTTTGTTCTGTTTGTGTTCTGTATTTTTTTAACTGTGTTTTTTTGTTAATAGCATTAATTAAATAAAGTTTTTACTTTTACTTTTCTACATGTAAGGTTTTTGATGAAATGCTCAAGTGAGTTTTTACTTTTACTTTTGTTTGTAGTCTCATTGCTCCTTGCATAAAAAAGTACATCTCATTGTACTTACTCCATGTTTAATTACTGCATGTTTTTATTTCCGATTCATCTATGGCTGAATAAATAAAATAAACAACAAGCTGAAATTAACCTGCTAATTAACCTACAAATTAGCTTCAGATAAACAATGGCATGGACAAAAATTAATGTATCAACATCAGAATATTTTAAATGGATACAAGCTATTTAATGTATAAAAAATCTGTCCACACATTTATTCTTAGAATGTTATCTACATTCATGGCACTCATTCTCATTTTTTGAAACACATTTTGAATTGATCCTAAATTTCTGTAATTGTGCATATTGAGCTGTTTCTGAGTATCTATAGTGTTAATGTTGTCAATAGATTTTTTTAAATGCTATTATATTTCTAAATAGAGGACTACTTATAGTCAATATGTTTAGCCTAATATGACTCTTTGTGTTTAAATGTGCATTAGTCCCATCAATATGGCACGTAAAATAAGCACCATTGAAGAGATCAATGACACCAAAGAGACATGGAAGATTGCAGTGAGGGTTATATCACTTTGTTCTTTCCAGACTCCTTCGAAGTTCATTGAAATGGTGTTAATGGACGCAAAGGTCTGATTATCTTATTTTTTAATGCTTAAATGAAATTAAATGCTCTAACAATTAAAGTGATTAATAACTTATCAACAATTCTCATAAATTAGGGATATAAGATACAGGCGGTTGCAAGAAATGCAGAGGTGCTAACCTGGAAGTCAAAGCTCAAAGAAAATGAAACTTATGTGATGCAAAACTTCAAAGTACTGTGCAATGAAGGACAGTTCAAGGCATGTGATCATCCATTCAAGCTCCAATTTACAAGTGGTACAACACTAAAACATCAAGAACTGCCTGATATACCCAAAGATTACTATAGCTTTAAAAAATTCAGTGAGATATTAAGTGGTAATCTCCGTACTGATGTTTTAGTTGGTAAGTGTTTATGTCAAATTACAAGCCTCCTTTTTTTACCACATAATAAAAAAGTAAACATTACTATCTATCTATTTATATATAAGAAAAGAGATAGCTCATCAAATTACTGTTTTGTCCTTCATTAAGCCTAGGTGGAGCTCATACCATATTTTTCTCCTTTTCTATACTGCAGCCACGTGGCTCTCAGTTTTTTCTCCTTTTTCCCGTTTCTATCTTCTCCCCGTCCCCTTTTTTCGCCAAAGTTTCCTCACATCTCCCCCTAAGCGCGCAGATCGGTAATCTCAGAATTTCACCAAATATAGGATTCTTCAATAGGGAGATTACAACTGAATCTTGGAGGCTCCAAATAATATCTTCGCTATATATACAAATGAATATCGCGGTTCATACTCCCTGCACGAGTACACAAGTTTTTGGTAATTCTTAATTTTCTATATTTCTCGATTCTTCTATAATTCAGCAATGCTTATCTCTTTCTAAAACCCTTTTTTGTCTCGGTGTAGTTTTCATTCTTCCTTTCTGTAGCAGAGGTAACGAATTTTTTCAAAACAGTTGTTGCTAGAGACTTCGGCAACTGAGAGTGTAAAAGTTTTGTTTGGGATCGGTACTTTTGTTCTGTAACGAATTTTTGTTCTGTATTGGGATCAGTACTTTTGTTCTGAAACGAATTTTTGTTCTGCATTTTTGTTTGGGATCAGTACTTTTTTTGTTAATAGCATTAAACAAAGTTTAGACTTTTACTTTTCTACATATCAGGTGTTTGATGAAATGCTTGAATGAGTTTTTACTTTTACACTCAGTTTTAGTATTGTTATTATTATTAGTTGTAACCTGTGAGAGTCTGAGTAAGATATGTATCTATCTCCCCCTGTTTTCATTGGTTTATAACATAGAGGTCATATCACTTCCATGAAACTGCTTTTAAGAAGCATTACATGTCCTGTTCTTTTTCTTATGAAGCCTATTGTCCTTCATTAGGCAGTAAATACAAGTTTGAGAAATGAATTACTCTTGCTTCATTTATTAGGCATTACGTGTCCTATTCTTTTTCCTTTTTAGCCTATTGTTCTCTTAGGCAGCAAATAGAAGTTTGAGAAATTAATTACTCTTGCTTGATCATGAGTTTTCATAGTGCTAATGTGGCTGCCATAAAACTGCCTTTTATGAGGCATTACATGCCCTATTCTTTTTCTTTTTCTCTCAGTATTGCCTTTTATGCTCAAGCATCTTAAACCAATAAGACAAAGAAGTATTGATGTAAAGCAAATAACTATATTAATCTTCATGTTATGCTCAACAAATGGTATGCTAGGAATAGCAGTAGGAACATGTCCAGTTGTGTATATATGTTCTCTTACTATATTTTCAGTTTTGTTACCTTTTAACAAATCAATTTTTCAGGCTACTTCTATAACAGGTCAGGCTTTGAACTGTACTATTTTGTTCTGTTTGTGTTCTGTATTTTTTTAACTGTGTTTTTTTGTTAATAGCATTAATTAAATAAAGTTTTTACTTTTACTTTTCTACATGTAAGGTTTTTGATGAAATGCTCAAGTGAGTTTTTACTTTTACTTTTGTTTGTAGTCTCATTGCTCCTTGCATAAAAAAGTACATCTCATTGTACTTACTCCATGTTTAATTACTGCATGTTTTTATTTCCGATTCATCTATGGCTGAATAAATAAAATAAACAACAAGCTGAAATTAACCTGCTAATTAACCTACAAATTAGCTTCAGATAAACAATGGCATGGACAAAAATTAATGTATCAACATCAGAATATTTTAAATGGATACAAGCTATTTAATGTATAAAAAATCTGTCCACACATTTATTCTTAGAATGTTATCTACATTCATGGCACTCATTCTCATTTTTTGAAACACATTTTGAATTGATCCTAAATTTCTGTAATTGTGCATATTGAGCTGTTTCTGAGTATCTATAGTGTTAATGTTGTCAATAGATTTTTTTAAATGCTATTATATTTCTAAATAGAGGACTACTTATAGTCAATATGTTTAGCCTAATATGACTCTTTGTGTTTAAATGTGCATTAGTCCCATCAATATGGCACGTAAAATAAGCACCATTGAAGAGATCAATGACACCAAAGAGACATGGAAGATTGCAGTGAGGGTTATATCACTTTGTTCTTTCCAGACTCCTTCGAAGTTCATTGAAATGGTGTTAATGGACGCAAAGGTCTGATTATCTTATTTTTTAATGCTTAAATGAAATTAAATGCTCTAACAATTAAAGTGATTAATAACTTATCAACAATTCTCATAAATTAGGGATATAAGATACAGGCGGTTGCAAGAAATGCAGAGGTGCTAACCTGGAAGTCAAAGCTCAAAGAAAATGAAACTTATGTGATGCAAAACTTCAAAGTACTGTGCAATGAAGGACAGTTCAAGGCATGTGATCATCCATTCAAGCTCCAATTTACAAGTGGTACAACACTAAAACATCAAGAACTGCCTGATATACCCAAAGATTACTATAGCTTTAAAAAATTCAGTGAGATATTAAGTGGTAATCTCCGTACTGATGTTTTAGTTGGTAAGTGTTTATGTCAAATTACAAGCCTCCTTTTTTTACCACATAATAAAAAAGTAAACATTACTATCTAACCTTAACACTTGCATTTTTTTTAACAAATAGATGTAATTGGAGCTTTCCATGATATTGTGCGTTCTGACATTAGTACTCCTTTGAAAAAGGTAGCATTTTGGATGAATGATCTCAGGTGATGTCATTCACTGTCTTTGTTTTTCATACTGCATTAATTAAGTATCTTTACAACTTGAAAAGATTTCTTTATTAATTAATTAAATGTATTATGCTATAATGTAGTGGTGAAATGATCATGTGTACTTTATGGCAAGACTATGCTTCAAAGTTCTTGGAGTTTCATGAGAATCATAAATCTGAGCTAATTGTTATCATATTAACACAAGCAAAAATTAAAGAACCTGAAGGTAAGGTCGAATTGTTACATTACATTACATTGTATTATATTATATTGATGATGTTATGATTTATTTACTTTGTTGAAATGTTAGGAATAAATCCCATGTTCATTCAAAACAGTAAGTTCGGATCTAAATTGCTCATTAATGAGGACATTGTGGATATTCAGAAATTCAAAGACAGGTTCATTGTGCTTATTGGTGTTATCACACTTATGATTATGTAGTAAACGTACTTCATTTTTTTCTATTTTCATTGTTAAATATTTAATCCATGTTTGGAATAATGGCAGCTATTGCTCAGTTCAAGCAAAAGAAAGACCCTGTCAGAGTCAAAGTCAACTTTCAAATTCAAAATTTACTGAGCAAGAGAAGCTAACCTATAGAGCCAGTGTTATGAGTATTTCTGATATCAATTGCCTTACCGAGGTTTAAATAAATCTCAATTATTTTAAACATAATAATACACTAATAATATAGCATTCCATTCTATTTAAAATGTAGTTATTTTCTTGAAATTTTACTTTTAAGAGGATTTCCTAAATATATATTTATTCAAAATCTGCCCTTCCGCTTCATTTTTTTAAATGCCCAAATATATCAAACTTACTTTTTGGGAAATCTTAGATCCTCTTCTGTCAATTAGTTATCTTAAAAGTTGTTATCTCATAATAAACTAACCATCTCATAATATTATATAGGAAACAACGTGTGTCACAATGGGCACAATTGCAAAGTTTGTAGTTGGTAAAAGTGGCTGGAGCTATGAAGCTTGCTCTGGGTGCACTAAAAAGGCTGAACCACACATTAAATCCTTCACATGTAAATGTGGAAAATTTAATGACAAGACTACTCTAAGGTTAATTTAATTTCTGCTAACTTTTATGCCAAAAGATACTATATATTATGAGAAAACATTGCTAATGTCTTATATTTGTAAATAGGTATAGATTAGAAGTCATGGTCTATAATAATGAAGACTGCACTAAGTTTGTGTTGTGGGATCAAGAATGTATCCAAATCATTGGGAGGACAGCTAATGAGCTTAAAAATGAAATGCTTCAAGTACGAAACTATTATTAGCTGTTTTGTAAATCTGAAAGTTTTTACCATGGCAACATAATTTGTTTTTATTTTTTTACTATTTCACTTATTAAGCAAGGAGAAGACGATCCACTGTCTTATCCGGAAGCACTGGATGAATTGCTGGGAAGGACTATGGCATTTAGAGTGAAGATGCAGCCAACTTACAATGCTGCATCAGTACTTAAGGTGTCTGAGGATGCAAGGATCATAAAGTTCATAACAGAGCAACTTCGTGTGTACGAGGTATATGATATTTAAAATGTCATTTTAAATTTTCAACACTATCTAAGATATTTATTTTCGTAAAAAAATTGTTCCACTTTTCTAACTTAAAAAATATCATATTTAACAATGTGTCCTGAACCTTCATTAAAAATGAATATAGATACCATATACATTTCATTTCCTTCATGTAAATAAATCATCTTCACTTTTATGGCTTTTTTATATTATTGATTTAATATATTGGAAAGCTTGAATCAAAACTCTAATGGCATGCAAATGTTGTGATCTCTCTGATACCATTGTTGTTCTTAAAAATAAATATTTAACAATTTTATTTAATTAGGAAAAGACCAATCACGCTAATGGAGAGCCTGTTCTTGATGACCATGTTCAATGTGAAAGTGTAAGTATTGTACTACACTTCCATAATTATCATTCATAGTTATTTGAAACTCCTATGCTTAGCTATGCAGTTGTGATCCTATACTTTTAACCCTCTTTTCAAAAAGCCTAAAATGTTATTTTCCCTCAAACCTGGCAATAATTAATAATTGCAGGCCCCGAAAAGATACTTTTCTTGCAAACAACAAATCTTCTACACACTTTAAATTAAAAATGTTATTTTATTTGATCTCTGAAGAGGGCTTTATCAAACAGCAACCTAGACACTCAACAATGTTTCGACTTTGAAACCACAATGTTTTCAAGTTTCAAACAAAAAATATGTTTGGAAAACACGTGGTTCTCAAATCATAAAACATGTTGCTTGATATATTTGGTAACATATGACTTATGCTTCATTGTTGTTGACATATTTATACAGCAATCTGTGTCCGCTACAGGGGATTATGACCCCAACGACTCATCACCTTCTGTTACACCTTGCAAAAGATCAATGGAGAAGCAGTTTGATGACCTCCAACCACAAGATAAAGCTACAAAGTTTTCAGCAACAAAGATTGAAAAGCGTATAAAAAAGGAGTAAAAAATTAAGTTCAATGGATGGGCATGGGAACATTATGAGATTACCTACTGCTTTCTTCTTAGATTTAGTCTTTCTTTTATAGTTGGTTGACAATAAATTATGAAGTAACACTATTTTTTAAATTGATTTTTTATACTTTTACTTATACCTTGATTTTTTTTATGCACTACAAAAGAGAGTAAAATGGGCAGCTGGAGAAATCGTTTAATACTACGTTTAATTGAAAATAGATGGTATAAATTCTGATGTTAAAAATTCCATCCAATTGGAGAAAGATCTTTATGAATTAAAAATATGGATCCACAAACTAGCAGTAATTATTTTCCAATGTGATTTAATTACATCTTCGATCTACATCATGTTTATGATCTAAAAATGGTCCAAGGATGACATATTATTGTTAAATATCCAGGTATTTAGAGGTAGTGAGTAAGAGGTCTCCTCGATCGGGTGAATTATTAAAACCATAAGTGATGAGTCAAAATAACTGTAAATACATTCAGACTATTGTCGTAGAAATACAAAAAATCCAACACAAAAATTTAGACTCAGTGCGCTTAATTGTATATGAATAAAATTGTACAATAACAATAATTTTCTCAAGCCGATTTGTTCAAGTGTAATGCTATGTACTCCCTCTGTCCCGAATTTTTTTTACCAAATTGACTTTTCATGGTCAGTTACCATCAACTTTGATTAACGATATCTTTTAATACGTATTTAATTTGAACTATGATTGTATGTTTTTTAAAAATACAATTTTATTGAAAAAATTACATAATATATAAAATTCTAAGTTCTGTTAGAATGCATTCAACATTTTAAAATTTCATTTGTGTAATTTAAGTATGTACTTAATACCACAAAATTACATTTCTGAAAATTGTATGATCAATCAATTTGTGATACTTAACACACACCCCTTCACTTTAAAAAAAAAACACACCCCTTCAAAGTTTCATACGGAGTACATTTAAATTATTTCCCCTTTAATCAATCAATTAGTGGTTTCTATCAATTTTCTTTCCTTTACACAAATCTTAAACAAAGGTTTTTACGATATTACTCTTCATGCCGGTTAAATGCGACAAAGTTTTGAAGGACGAAGTTAAATTAAGAACCAGTTTGGTAGCCTTTTTTTGGCTTATCTGGCTTATCAGTCAGCTTTTTCACCAAACACATAATTAAGAACTTTTCTCTTTTTTTGGCTTATTAGGAGTTACTTTTCTGGTTGTATTGGCTGAAGTTACTCTAGAGTATCATTTTAACTACTTTTTCATATAATCTTTTATTTTATTTATAATAACAAATATTTTAAATATAATTACTTTATAAATTAACAGAATCAACCAAAACAGCCACTTCACCCAGAACTTCATAAATTTCAGTAGAATCATCCAATTCAGCCAATTTTAGTACTAACTCCGTTCCTATTTTATCTTCCAACCCACTTTGGCACACAATTTAAGAAAAGTGAGTATTGTGTGGTGGAGAGTTGTGCAGAGGAGAGAGAAATGTGTAAGAAATGTTGTGAACCACAAATTTTTTACCAAAAAGGGAAAGAGGAAATTTAATTGGAACAGACGAAAAAAAAAAGTTGGAAGTTTATTTAGGAACGGAGGGAGTATTACCAAACGGGCTCTAAAAATACAAACTTAACAATTTTATAAACATGTCGGTGTTGTAAACAACATATCGAACATAATTTTAAAAACATAAAGAATCAAATTAAAAAATTGAACATACAATTTAAAAAACGTAACAACTGCACGTGTAATTCTTAAAAAAATAAACAATAAAATGAAAAGTGATGATGCTGGAATACGAAAAGTAGTAAATAAAAATCGGCTTACCCATTAAATAGAGTTGGAGCCATAATAGGAAACATATGGAACTTAATTGAACGTCAATTAGACTTTGCCTATACTCAAAGTATTAGCCTCATGAAACCTAGTAGCCGTCATATACTTGAAGTGCACTATACTATGGACTGCACACCTTGCCTCATACATATGACATTGAATTGCCCTGTACTATTCACATAGCAGCCGCCAACATGTCTTCACACTTTTCTACACATGGGATTTCTCTTTATTGAAGGGAGCAAGTATGTACTTCTTTTTTATTTTGCAAACATGTAATAATTTAAATTGATGAATTAGGAATATGAGCAGTTGGCACTGTATGGTCCGATAAATGTCTAATCTACATGTCTTTTATAAATAGACAAGTGTGATCTGGTCTGGTGTGGTCTGGTTTAATCTGATCTGGTCTGGGACTGAAACTGGTCCAAATAAAAATAACCTTAATTGTAAATCTCATATTGGCCATCAAAGTTTTATACATAGTAATTCACAGTATTTGGACATTCACTTTAAATTGATGAATTAGGGATATGAGCAGTTGGCACAGTATGGTCTGGTAAATGTCTAATCTACGTGTATTTTATAAATAAACAAGTGTGATCTGGTCTGGCGTGGTCTGCTTTAATCTGATCTGGTCTGGGACTGAAACTGGTCCAAATAAAAATAACCTTAATTGTAAATCTCATATTGGCCATCAAAGTTTTATAATTCGCAGTATTTGGACATTCACTTACGATCTTCTTCTTCCTTTAATAAAATTCGTTAGTTTTATTTTTGCTTTCTTTTTTTGAGTCAATAAACTAACTTAATCGATCTATATAAATTTGGAAGATTTCATTTGAGGTTTTAGAATATATAATTTTATTTTAATTAATAACTTCTTATATATAACAAGTTAAATGCTATCCTTCGTATCCCATTAATTGCAACATTGGAATATATACACTATTCATATACTTTACTTTGGTTACATTTTATTTATTGATGTATGTGAATTATTTTGTTTTAAAAATATTGTTAAGTTCGTTTCATTACTAAGTTTTATAATCTGATCTTTATTTTATTTTTGCTAATACATAATTAAATATAATAACGGTCAAAGTTGTGCATTGACAAACGTGAAATGTTGACTATTGCAACTAAAAAGAGACGGAAAAAGTATATATTTACAATTTTTTCATTCAAAGGAAAAAGGGAATACAAATAGCTTTCAAATGTGAAAAATCTTTAGTGGGTGTCTAAAAAAGATAATAAAACCGTTCAATTTCATTCATTTGAACCTTAATGTCCATTTAACCATATTGTCCAATTTGATCCATAAGAAACCTTAGTGTCCAATATGAGATTCACTTATAACCGTAATGTCCAATTCACAAAAATACTTTTCAAAATAAAAGTAAAGCATTAATAAAAATGGAAAAAGTATTTAATACAATTTTCCTATTTTTGCCATCAAATACTACACTCCGTTCTTGAAATTAAATTTAAACTTCAATATTATTTACATTACTGCAGACACTTCTTTCGTTGAAAATTATTGAAATTTAGTCTTCTTAATCTCTTATATGTGTCCATCTCAGTGCAATAAGAAAAAATGGATGCGTCAGAAGCACGTCGCAAAAGAAAAACCATTCTGCAGGAAAAAAAGACATCTAGGCTGAGAAATGAAGAGCAACATAAAGGTATAAAGAGAAATTTATATTCTCATTGAATACTTTTTCATATCTTTCTCTTTTCATTTTGTTTCAATGCAGAAGCAAGTGGTGTTACAAGGGAATCCATAAGTAGTAACACATTACTGGACTACGCAAGCTCTTCCCTCATTAGAAGGTAAATCATTAATCAATTATCATCAATACAGAGGCATGTAAATATTTTAATACTATGATGGTTAATTGTTCATAACATAAATACTCAAAACATTACAAGGAACGAGGCAGCAAGATCACGTCTCAAAAGGAGATATATTCTAGATAACAAACGGAGAGGTAAATTCATAAACATGACTCAAATCACATGCAAAAGTCCTACTTTGAACTATCTGCCAATAATATATATTACAATGTTGCATATCATTTACATTTTAATCATTTTAACTTTTAAGGTTTCCTTACAAACAACGGTATCCAAGAGTCTTCCCAAGATGTAGATACCAAAGGCAAAAGAATTGTAGGAACACCAAATGAAAACATCCTACTCAGTAGTGCTACAAGTAAAGCATTATTACACATCTTTATCATAAAATTTATTTTATTTAACGATATCCTATGACAATTTATGGCTTACTATTTTTTAACTTTACAGTTGCGTACTCCAATAGTCCTCTCCTGCACACAAGTGTGGATGCACATACATTGGCCAGTTCAACAACCAATTATCATCCACTCTCTAACATCACAAATTTCATTTTAAATGGGAGGTACTTCATAACACAATTACACAACTTCTAAGACTTAGGGAATATTAACTAATCACTTTTTTTGTTAATCTTACATTTCACGGTGTGAACAACCAATTCACCCAGTGGCGGACCCAGAAACTCAGAATCACGGGGTCCCTACTGTAATGTAACTAATTAATAAAAAATTAATAAAAAGAAGAAGTAAAATAGTAAACTAGCATAACATATCATAGTTAACATAACGTATACAACAATTTTAAAGAAATGTCTACTATCAACTAGAGCTCGTTTGGTAACACTGAAATCGGCTGAATCAGTTGATTCTGCTGAAATTTATGAAGTTCTGACTGAAGTGATTGTATTGACTGTTTCTGTTGATTATGAAAAAATATATTTAAATATATTATATTAATAAAATAAAGAAGAAATGATATGAAAAATAGATAAAATGGTCATCTACAACTGCAGTCAATACAGCCTGAAAAGCAACTTCAACCTTATTTTTCTTATTATTACATAATTCAGCGCGTAAAATCAAAAGTTACATGTTTGGTTAAAAAGTTGGTTGATAAGCCTGATAAGCCGAAAACAGAGTCACTAAACCGGCACTAAAATTTTATAAAGTTATTGTCCTCTATCAACTAAAAATAATGGGCATGCATATGAGAAATCAAATTTAAAAAGCCTACATTTGAAAATTTCGATCCAATTACTTCGCATTATTTTATTTGGATTTTTATTTAAAATATATTCGTTAGCTTTGTTTCTATTTTAATTTAATACAATTACCAATTTATTTGTGTAACTTTAAGGACTTTGTTGTTGGGCTGATTTTAGTCTTAGATCAAATCACATCAAGCCAAACTATGCGATATGATAATGGCTCAAGCGACTGAAACTGCTATATTAGGAAATAATGATATTTAAATTATACTTCCTCCGTCTCTTTTTAGTTGCAACAGTCAACATTTCACGTTTGCCAGCGCACAACTTTGACCGTCATTATATTTAATTCTATATTAGTAAAAATAAAATAAAAATCAGATTATAAGACTTAATAATGAGACGGATTTAACAATATTTTTCAAAAAAAAATCACATACATTAATAAATAAAATGTAGTCAAAGTAAAGTATATGAATAATGTATTCCAATGTTGTAAATAATGTGATACGGAGGATAGTATGTTATAAGATATGAAAAAAAGTCATCTGAAAAAGTGGCTAAGATGATGTTCTTACGGTAACTTCAGTCATCTCGCCGAAAAAATGATTTTAACTTGCTTATTTTAATTATTACAAATTCAGTGCGTGAATTCAAAAATTACGTGTTTCATGATGAAATTAGTTTATAAAACAGATAAGCTCAAATTTGGGGATACATACTCGCTTTATAATAGTATTTGTTATGGAAAAAATTGGATATAGGTTGAGAAAATTAGATTTAGATAAAAAGTTGGGCTATAGAGGTGCATGATAACAATAGGTACCCCAAGTTGTTCCATAATTTTATTTTCAAAGAAATAGACTTCCAAAGGAATCGATCCCTCAACCTCCCGCACATGTAGAGCCTTGAGATTGGACATCCAACCATTGCTCTAGCTCCATATTTGTGTTCTAAACTAGTTTCAATTGTATAAATACACTGATTACTTAATTTCATGTAAAATATATACAAATATATATAGGTATTTTTTTTAGGTCCATGGGGTCCCGGGACCCCGTGGGACCCTTAGTGGGTCCGCCACTGAATTCACTGAATGGGATGCGGCAAAAGAAGCACGTTCTAAAAGAAGATCTTTCTTACAAGAGAAGCATGGATGCCAATTTCTAAGTGGGTGTCAACATAAAGGCATACGCAATCAACTGCCAAATACTGGTATTATATTTGATAGTGTATGGTGTGGAACTCAAATAACATAAATACATTTATATCATATAAAAACTAATTATATGGATTCCAACATATAATAATACCAATGTATACTTTTGAACACATGTTTGTATATGATTATAAACTGGCCATATTTTGGAAATACTACTTTTCATCTATCAAACAAGATCCAGCCGTAAATATTATAAAAAACTCTTTTTAAATTGTATATCTTTATACATGTCAATCATATTTATTAATTTTTAAATATTTTTAGCTTTTGATACAAAATGGACTCTTCGAGATCATCATTCTGATACAAATGTTGATGCGAATGAAGTAACCGGCTCCATGATAAATTTAATCTCAAGTGGTCAGTACATCAACACACAATTAAGTGTGATTCAAGATCAATCAAAAAGAAAAAGAAGAGCCATTCATGCTGATTCTATAGGTGTGAATCTAATGACCAAATTCTCAGAGGAGGCTCTAATTTTTGACAATGAAATTGATATGCATAATCCTTGCAATGCAACTCCTTCATCATCACGCCAAGGCACACTTTATACAAACCAAAACTATGTTCTAAATTCAAGTCATAGTGTGAGAATACGTGAAACATATGGCCCACAAGGAAGTGAACAAGTTCATTCTGATAGTGATGTTGATCAATTTGAAGGTAAATGATAACTTATTATCAATATAAATAAAACCACAATGATTGTATATGCACATTGAACCTTCTTTTCAAACAGGTTTAGCTCCCGATGATGACACGAGTTCAGACGAGGAGTCACCAGCTACTCATGAAAACACTACAGAATTTGATTTCACTCAAGGTAACAATAATTAAATAATTCAGTACAATTTAAATCATATTAATCACTGTGTATTCCTTATGATAAATTTTTATTCATTTCTAGGATACTTTGATATTGGAGATCCCCTTATTGAGTGCGACAAATGCCAGGCATACATGTGGTATCAAGAAAGATCAAATAAATATAAAGACACCACGCTACCTAAGTTTAATCTTTGTTGTGGGAGGGGGAAAGTTCAATTGCCACTACTCAAGGACCCACCTGTGCTTCTTCAGCATCTTTTATTTGACAATGATGTTGATAGCAAAAACTATCAACAACATATTAGAGCGTATAATATGATGTTTGCATTCACATCGCCTGGTGCTAAAATTGACAAGTCAGTTAACGATGGTCGAGGCCCGCCTACGTTCAAAATACAGGGCCAAACATGCCATCGAGTGGGAAGCATGTTACCTATGCCAGGTCAACCTCCAAAGTTTGCCCAATTATACATATATGATACTGAGCATGAGATACAAAATAGGATTCGAGGAATAAGGTTAGCATGTGCATTAATTTTATCATGGAACACTAAATAAAAATTTATTAAATTTTTATTTCTAATTGTATGTTATTGTGCAATTGTAGAAACCCAAATGACATAGATGATCAGATTGTGGGCAAATTATCAGCCATGCTACATGAATACAATGTGCATGCAAAATCCTTTAGAATGGCTAAGGAAAGATTGCAAGATGCACCTGTGCAGGATCTGCGGTTAAAGTTGATTTCTGACAGAGTTAGTGATGGCCGATTATATAACTTGCCTACGGTTTCAGAAGTTGCTGCTCTTATTGTTGGAGATGTTAACACTTCATCAAAAAGAGATATTATAATGGAGACCCGAAGTCGTACACTTCAGCGAATAAGTGAGCTGCATACTAGCTATTTGAGTTATCAGTATCCCCTTTTATTTCCTTATGGAGAGGATGGATACAGGCATGACGTGCTTCATAGAGATACAGGTAATTCTAATAGTTCTAAAAGAAACCATCTTACCATAAGAGAGTGGCTTTGTTTTAGGCTACAAACAAGGAAAAATGAGGCGCTAACATTGTTGAGATCAAGAAGATTATTTCAGCAGTTCGTAGTTGATGGCTATACTATGCTTGAGTCAGAGAGGTTATCTTTTATCAGGAGAAACCAAAAAAAACTAAGAGTTGATAAATACAGTAACCTCAGTCAAACAAATCACAACTTACAATGTCCAGGATCTGAAAAGGGGAAAAGAATTGTACTACCATCGACATTTGTAGGAAGTCGTCGCTACATGGATCAACTCTACTTTGATGGTATGGCAATTTGCGCTTTTGTTAGCTTTCCTGATTTCTTTATCACGTTCACTTGCAATCCCAACTGGCCTGAGATTCAGAGAGTACTTGCACCATTAAACTTGAAGCCGCATGACCGTCCTGATATTGTTGCAAGGGTCTTCAGGATAAAGTTTGAAGAGTTATTAACAGATTTAAGGAAAAGGCATATCTTCGGAAAAGTTCTTGCATGTAAGTTTTATATATGAATATATTACATATTTCTTATTTACACTACACATTTACTGGTGCAATTCATTTATTCTATTTTTTCTACAAATTTCTTTCAGATATGCACACAATTGAGTTCCAAAAAAGAGGATTGCCCCATGGGCACATACTCATTTTTTTGCATCCTTCGAACAAGTACCCAACTGCCAATGATATTGATAAGATTATTTCAGCAGAGATACCTGATGAAGAGACCGAGAAAGAATTGTACAACCTGGTCAAATCTCACATGATTCATGGTCCATGCGGTTTAGCGAACCCTTCATCACCGTGCATGCAGGATGGGAAGTGCAACAAGTATTATCCTAAGCAATTCCAGGCAAGTTGGGTTTAGATTGGTTTGCTCAGTTTAAGTGTGATTTGATTTTGTTTATTTAGGTTTTTTCTGATTTAATCTGGACAAATAAAGTATATGGTGTTACATGATTTTATTTGCTATCGAAGTCTTGGCAGGAGTGGCTTGCTTTATTTGGTTTATTATGATATGTTTAAGTCTAATCTGATCAGGTCTAAATCACTTAAGTCTGATATCGAAATACATATAATACAAACATCCTAATTGTAATAATTAAACTAAATCTATAAATATACATAGCCACTATTTTACTAGAGTTACTAACAATAAATTTTAATATTTTTTATGTACTCAATTATTTAGAATATTATCATTTAGATCGTAAGAAACATGTTAATTAAATTCTATCGTCCTAAATCCTAATAGTCTCATACATTTGCTAATGAATGATAAAAAAATTAAACTAAAATATTACGAAGAAATAGTCATATAGGGGCTATAATATTCATTTTAAGTACGGAGGTCTAGCCTCATCGAAAGTAAATCAAGACTTATACATGGTCACACTTTAGAGTAATACTACAAATTAACACCGATTTTGAATTTTAACAACAAGTGCAATTTATACAAAATAAAGAAACAACACCACCTTTTTTCATTATTATCTATTAAACTTACTCCACCAAAGTCGTACATGACATTAGCGGTGCAAAGAGATATTAAGTTAAGATAATTGTCATCACTTTTAATTAGAAATATATAATATTTACAATTTTTTCAGGCATCAACGACGCTTGATGAAGATGGTTATCCTATTTATAGGAGAAGAGCCGATGGAAAGAAAATCGAAAAAAATGATTGTATCTTAGACAATCGTCATGTTGTGCCTTATAATCCAAAATTGTTGTTAAAGTACCAAGCGCATATCAACATGGAATGGTGTAATCAAAGCACTTCAATAAAATACTTATTCAAGTATATCAACAAAGGATATGACCGGATAACAGCAGTTATTGTTCCAGCACACAATGATGCGTCACCCCAAAATGAGAATATTGATGAGATCAAGCAATATCTTGATTGCAGGTATGTCTCACCATGTGAGGCCTGTTGGAGGATTTTTTCTTTTCCGATTCATGGTAGATCTCCAGCCGTTGAAAGACTTTTCTTTCACCTTCCCAATGAGCAATCTGTGTTCTTTAGTGACAATGATGACCTTGAGTCTGTGCTCACAAGAAAAACTGTTAAAGAATCAATGTTTACATCTTGGATGCAAGCAAACAAAATCTATCCGGAAGGAAAAGATTTGACATATGCAAAGTTCGTTTCACGATTTGTGTATGTAGCTAGCAAGAGGTGTTGGAAGCCAAGAACAAAGGGTTACACTATTGGTAGACTCATCTGGGTACCTCCAACAACAGGTGAACTATTCTATTTAAGAATGATGCTCACTGTAACAAAAGGGCCACGTTGTTATGAGGATATTAGGACCGTTGCCAACATTCAATATCCGAGCTTTAGAGAAGCGTGTTTTGCGGCGGGATTGCTTGGTGATGATAAAGAATACATTGGAGCATTAAAAGAAGTTAAAGACTGGGCATCAGGACACTACTTGAGAAAATTATTTGTAACTCTGCTATTATCATGCCCTGTGAGCAGACCCGAGCATGTATGGGAACAAACTTGGCAGTGGTTGGCAGATGGAATTTTGTATCAACAGCGAAGGCTCTCAAACATCCCATGTATACAAATCAATTAAAAATTAGATTATACCTATCATTTGTATCATGACAAGTTATTCATGGCGTTTACCCTACCAACAAAATTATAAGATTTGTCACAAAAAGTATTACCCTAAATTCAATTCACCTTATATTAGAATTCACATAGAGTACATATGATTAGTTTACCAGATCTTTCTTACCCTTTTTAGATTTTCACTAATTATATAATTTAAAATATTACTAAATGATGAAATTAAATATTTACTAATACTATAAATAAACATTATTTTCTATTTACCCCAAACAACTTTTCTTACCTTAAGTATTAAAATTACATCACGTATCAAGTAACATATAAAAATAAAATATATTTTTAAATTAATACATTGATATTTTTTATTTCATAAATCAACATAATCAAATGAAACTATATCATAATTTTAATTTTGTGCATATCTCATTTGTCATTCATTTGCATTGTAGTAAAAGATGAAATTAATTACTTCTTATTACCATAAACAAACAGTATTTCCTGATTACCCCAAACAACTTTTCTTACATTCAGTATTAAAATTAGTTGACATATCAATTAACATATAAAAATAAAATATATTTTTATATCAATATATTGAAATTTTTTATTTCATAAATTAACATATTCAAATAAAACTATTTCATAATTTTAATTTCATGCGTATCTCATTGGTCATTCATTTGCATTGTTGTGACAAAATAAATTATTTACGATAAATACATAATGGCAGTGGACACATACACATGAACATCTTCTTATAATTACTGATATAATTGTGTTTATTACATTTATAGATTTACAGCTTAGTGATCAAGAGTTGCAAAATTTAACTCTTGTGGAGCTTGAGAAATTGATGCAAAAAAAGAGAAAAAGTCTAAAAGACTTTCCCTCAATACCATATCCAAATGGATATATCACGGAACAACTAGGAAATAGGCTTATATATGCAGAACGTGAGTATGATACATCCAAGTTGCGTGAGGAGTTTCAAAGTTTGTATGCTTCTCTTACCGGTAAGACAACTACAAATAATATGATTTATAAGTCATATTAAATGGTTTTGAGTGTCAAGAGAAAAATGATTTCATTCATACATTTTGATGCTAATATTGCAGATGAACAAAAAGCCATATTTGACACAATAATGGAAGCTGTGACTAACCAAAAAGGCGGGGTATACTTTTTATATGGTTATGGTGGTACAGGAAAAACATTTATGTGGAGGACACTAGCTTCTGCCTTACGTTCTCAACGTCATATCGTTTTAACTGTCGCATCCAGTGGTATAGCTTCTCTACTCTTACCTGGAGGCAGAACTGCACACTCTAAGTTTTCAATCCCAGTTCCTACTTTGGAGAACTCTACATGCAATATACATCAAGGGAGTGAACTTGCAGAGCTATTGAAACAGACTAAATTGATAATATGGGATGAAGCAACAATGGCTCATAAATTTTGTTTTGAAGCATTAGACAGAAGCCTAAGTGACATCATTAATAATGATGGTGATTCTAATTCACCATTTGGAGGAAGAGTGATTGTCTTTGGAGGAGACTTTAGACAAACTTTACCAGTTATTCCTGGAGGCAGCCGTTCAGACATCGTTAATGCTACAATAAATTCTTCATATCTATGGGAAGATTGTCAGGTATTAAACTCACTTTTTAGTATCATAACCAATATGTTTAATTTTGCGATACTTTAGAAAACACTAATTATCACTTTAGAAGTTTTTTCTTGGAATAATTACTTTATAAGTTATGATAATCAAATATAAGTATTTTTTTTGTTTATTCATAGGTATTGTCTCTTACTAAAAATATGCGACTCCAAAATAGTTTGGATATGACAAGTGCTACTGAGCTCAAAGAATTTTCAAAATGGATATTTGATGTGGGGGATGGAAAAATATTAGAGCCAAATGATGGTTATGCAGAAATAAAAATTCCAGATGAATTCTTGATTAAAGAATTTGATGATCCAATAGATGCAATAATCCGAAGCACATATCCTAACTTGCTGGAGCAATACAAAAATGAGGAATTCCTCAAGTGTAGAGCTATCTTAGCATCGACTATTGAAATTGTCGATAAAATTAACGACTATGTTCTTTCCTTGCTCCCAGGTAATATTATACAAATGCTACTTTGCTTATTTACTGACACAATAAAATCTTAAGCAAATTTAATATTAAAATTACGTCCATTGAAATTTTATAACTACAGGTGAAGACAGAGAATATTTAAGTTGCGATTCCGTAGACAAATCAGATGTAGTCGAAGCAGAAGCATTTGAAGCGTTGACACCAGAGTTTCTAAATTCCTTGAGAACATCAGGTCTCCCAAATCATAGGATACGACTTAAGGTTGGGACTCCAGTAATGTTGTTAAGAAATATAGACCAGTCAGAAGGACTATGTAATGGAACTAGATTGATTGTCACCAGACTGGGAAATCATGTCATTGGAGCAAGAATCATGTCTGAAAGCTATGGTGGAGATGAGATTTACATACCTCGAATGTGTATGTCTCCTTCTCAATCACCATGGCCTTTTAAACTTATCAGAAGACAATTTCCTATAATGGTCTCATATGCAATGACAATCAATAAATCTCAAGGACAGTCACTGGAAAGAGTTGGATTATACCTGCCTAGACCTGTTTTTAGTCATGGACAATTGTATGTGGCATTATCCAGAGTTCAGAGCAAGCATGGATTGAAAATTTTAATACATGATAAGGATGGAAAATCATTAGACACTACTATGAATGTTGTGTTCAAAGAGGTTTTCCAAAATCTCTAACATGTAAGTTTAATATTTAACTTTTATTATTTATTTTATTAACTTAATTTAACTTTATGGTATTGACTTATTGTACTCGCTTTTAAGAATTATCCCAATTTTTTAAAATTAATTTGCTTTTCTAATTAATTAGATCATGATTACAAATGTATCCATCGATTATTTCCCGTGCGTATGCACGGGTACTGAACTAGTTTAATTAATAATTCGTATCTTTGAAATGCTGTTATTCCTCTTACTTTTTGATCAAGTAAGAGGTAAATTGACTTGATTCGATAGTTTTTAATTTTTTTGTAGCGAATATTCTAATTAGAAAATGCACTATGTGACGTAATAAACATCATATTTTTGTTATAGAAATATTAGCAGTTAATATACTTCTATTTAGTAATTATTATTATCAATTAAGAAAAATGGTAAAATTATATTATAATTATAATAATAACAATTTTCGAAACTTTAATTTAAAGATGGACTTTCTTTTTTTACTTTTTGAACCGTGTAAGCGGCGGTATATAACGTAGAGGAGCAAATGTAGGGCCCAATTGATAACACTGAAATTGATTGAATCGGTTAATCCTGCTAAAATTAATATATATTTGATTTCTCTGAAGTGACTGAATTTGCTGAATATGCTGAACTATGAAAAATATTATACTTAATGATAAATAAAGTAGCAAGTTTTAAAAAGTTCGATTTGTTCGGTTCGGTTCGATTTTGAGACGTGAAAACCAAAACCGAAACCAAACAACTACGGTTCGGTTCGATTTTTTGAGTTCGGTTGTTTTAGTTGCGGATCGAGTTTTTTCGATTCGGTTTTCGGTTTTCAATGTACTTATTTGTTGTTTTAAAAAAATGTAGAGTATAGGAAAGAAAAAATGTACAACGAAATAAAAAGAGGTATCCATAAGACAAAAATTACCTTAATTTCAACCTCCCATTCCTCGGGCGTAAGATTAAATATGTTGGTGGACGAATGATACACATTGCTCGTTTTATTTTTAAGCAATAACTAGGCTTCATATTTTCTTTTAAAATAAGTGTGTTGATTTTTCATTTGCTTCTATACAACAGAAAATTTACGAGTCACATTCAAAACGCAAGCAGCTTTCTTCAAACTTTCTTTCAAGAAAGTGCTTTCAGACTACTACCTTCCTGCCAGTTTACAAAAATCTCATAGATAGAGAGGTCTCAAGAAATACTTCACCACATTAATATTTTTCCAGCTTATCCTACATATTTTTTGATTTTTTGCCAGCGTGTTCCATACCTTAAAAATGAAACACGTATATCCCAACAATAAACAATTCATAGAGCGCTAATAGATGGGTAATTTATCCTATAAAACAAATGCACTCTCTCAAAAATGCATACATTCAATACTTGGCATTAAATCTGCAAAACTGCATATATTTCTGGGTATATGCATCGACATATGTTTCACTAAAAAGTAGATGGCATCAAATTCAATTGAAAAATATAGAAACGAAAAGTATTCACACTCCTCGACCTATGTGGATTAGGAGTGCAGCAGATGCAAAATAAAGAAAAATGATGCCTGAATCATTGGCAGCAAGTTGGGGGGGGGGGGGGGGGGGGGGGGATTCATCATCACTAGCTAAGGGTGGACCGGGCCCGGGTTGGGACGGGGTCCGGGTCGGGCCTTGGGCGGTAATGGGTTTGGGAGTTGGAGACCTCGTACCGGTCCGGGTAGGTTCCGGGACCGGCCAGGGTCGGGCCTTATATATTTTTTAAAAAAAATTGTTTTTCTTATTTATTCCTACCCCACCCCAAACACCCCAAACAACCCAGCCCAACCCACCTACCACCCAATGCATTCGGAAAAAAAAAAAACATTTTGGGCCCGGACAAGTCCCGGACCGGCCGGGCCGGTTCCAAGGGAGCATGAGCCCGTGACCCGCCCCATACCCCCCCCCCCCCCGGTTCAGGCCCAAGGCCCGGTTCAAGTTAATCGGGCTGGGCCGGTACCACACAGTGTCGGTCCAGTTCGTGTACGGGACTGGTCCGACATGTCCTCGTTCATTCCTATCACTAGCTAGATGGGCATGTGCATATTCTAATGTGCAGTCTCACTAGCTACTATTGCCGAAGCAGGAGCATTAACAATGTTGGAAGTTTCACCTAGATGTGTTCGATATACTGGAGTGGTCTTCCTTGACTTCAAAAATCATTATTGTTCTTGTTGTCTAAAATAACTAGATGGGTACCAAGTTGTCATAGATTATTAGCTTCCTCTA